TGTCACCCCAGCCTAGAGATAGCTCGCAAGCATCTCTTCAATAGAATCAGAATCAGAATGAGCTTTATTGCCAGGCATGTTTTCACATACGAGGAATTTGTTTTCATGACAGAAGCTTCCGCAGTGCAACAGAATGACAGCGACAGAACAAAAACACAGATAATAAAAGAAGAATAAAAAAATAGAACAAGTAAATAAGGAATAACAATATATAAATTGACAATTGTATGTGCAGGGAAAAAAGCACAAATGTCAGGGCATGTCAAAACTTTTCCAGGCCCCAAAACACCCTCGACCCCAGAGGGTTAATCAGGTTGACTCAGAATTTTCAGATTCGAGATTAGCTGATTTCAGTTTCTGCCTGTAGGTCGGTATAAGATGAACTAAACAGTGATCAGAGAGCCCCAAAGCTGCCCGTGGAACAGAGTGATATGCATTCTTTATTGTGGTGTAACAGTGATCCAATATTTTACAATATATATTAACAGAGTCCGAGTGTTGTTGTTCTGTCTCTGTGATCTGATCAGCGAGTTTCTGTAAAGCTGAGCTCACGTGCGCTTGCGGAGGAATGTAAACACTGACGAGAATGAACGAGCAAAACTCCCGCGGCAAGTGGAAAGGCTTACAGTTAATGAAAAGCGCTTCTAGATCTGAAAAGCACATCTTCTTTAATACGGTTACATCTGTACACCACCTTTCGTTGATGTAAAAGCATGTACCGCCGCCGCGCGATTTCCCCGTTGATTCTGCGTTGCGGTCCTCTCTGAACAGCTGAAAGCCCGGCAGATTTAACGCGCTGTCTGGTATGGCGTCATTCAGCCAGGTTTCCGTGACACACAGAACAGTAGAGTGTGAGAAATCCTTATTTGTCTGGGAGAGCAGAAGGAGTCCGTCCGTTTTGTTGGGTAGAGAGCGGAGGTTCGCCAGATGGATGCTAAGCAACGGCGTTCGAAATCCGCGCTGCCTGAGCTTCACGAGGGCGCTGGCTCGCTTCCCCCGTCTGCGAGTCCTGAAGCGCTTAATCAGCGCAGCTGCTCCGCCAACTACTATGTCCAGCAAAACATCTGAATATTCGAAAACCGGTAATATATCGGGTGATGTGTAGTGCCGAATGTCCAGCAATTCGTCTCTGGTGAAACTGATTGCAGGGATATAACTAAAGATATAACTAAAGACAGGACAAACTAACAAAAACACAAAAACAACTGCAGAGCACGCCACGGAGGCCGCCATCATCATCGGCGCCAAATATATATAATAGGGGGCATCGACACATATCCATGCTCACGCATCACCTTGACGTCAGCATGGTGATGCTGGTACCGATGAATGCGGGCTGAATATGGTTTATCCCATGCCTGATATCCTTATGAAGATCAGGGAGGAATGGGTGGCTCACAGGAGCTGGGTGGTTATGTCTGGATGGAAATCACTCATCAAGTCTACTCTGAGCAATTTCCCCTTTTTCTCACCTCCAGGTCTAATCTAGCAGTAACGTAACTCAGAATTATCCTCCTCACCCTCATCAGCCAAATCCTGCTCACCTTGGCTGGAAGCCAGCAGAGCACTTCCTGCTGGATCAGAGGATGAAATTGACAGCACATCCACTTCCAGCAGTTCACCCTTGTCAGCCGCTGATGAGCACGTGAGATTAACACCTCTCTCAAACTCGCCAGCAAGCTCCATCTGCAATCCACACGATCTCAGTCTCCTCGCTGCCTCGGCAGCAGCAGGACCAGAGCCGCAGGGGGCAGATAATTGTCCCAGTTTCCTCGAGAAAAGAAATGCTCACAATGAACGCACTCCGTTCCCTCAAGAACAGCGCGCGTGTGCTCTTCGCCCAAACACATAATGCATAGGTCGTGTGCATCATTGGGTGTCAGATAGCGCTGACACGGATCTGCACACTTCCTAAAACACTTTACAATAGACATCATTCTTACCTACACACTTCAGAAACAAATGACTCTGAAGACAAAGAAGAGGATGACGTAATCCACAGGTGCCCTTTAATACCCGCAGTCGCTCCATTAATTACGTCATAGGCTGCCACCTGCCAATGTCAAGTTCATTGTCGTTTTACATTCAAGCTTCAGACACCAGTCATGCTGGAGGCATCCCCATAGCGACCCCTAGGGGACGCTGCGTGGAGTTCCCTTTCGAAAGGGAACTCTATTGATCTTATATAAAGCTAAATAGACTTACAGTAATCTAACCCAAATACTGTTTTGGGACAAATAAACCCACACATATTTCATGTTAAAACAATTTAAAGTTACAATAGTCTAAATAAAATAAAATAAATAAATTGATAAAAATGAAATATAATCACAAACAAATAAATAGTTTAAGGTTATTGTGTAACCATGGGAAATTAAAACTTAAGCACCCACAAACTCTCACAAAGCAACATTTGCTGACACTGTGACTCATATGCTTTATGAGAGCACTTGGATAAGACGCTGAATCCACAATTCCACACATAACAGAGACACACACCTTAGATCCAGATAGACACACACACCCTTGAAACAAACACTCAAGGTTCACAATTTCTGGAAAGAACAGTGTTTTTACTAAGGAACAGTTATCATTAGCCTACATGCATGTTTGTGTGTGGGTGTGTATGTATATGTGCTGGCAACGTTAGTAATTCTTCTGATGAAAACACAGGTTGTGTTTCTCAGGGTGTGATATAACAGACTTGTCCTTTCATGTCTGCAGGCTGTCCCCGTACAAGATGCCAAACACGCGACCGTATGCTGCATGGTGCATTCCATAACGGCCAGGCTCTATCAAACAAACAAATCACGCAGGGCCTCCGGAATGCCATGCACTCTCAAATAACAGGATTAGTACAGATGAGCTACTGCAAGGAATTACACCAATCAGACGAGACCTTCCATCAAACAGTTTATTTCACCCTTCACAGCTAATATCCTAAATGAACATGATGTTCTTTAGAAAATAATCACAGCAGCTACTTTTCTACGCAAACAAACCAAATGACTGCACTTAGGAAAGAGTAGTTAAAAAGACTGTAAAGATAATTATACACAGTGATTTCAATGCCTATAACTAGTTTGGGAAATATGCCAATTGGGAAAATACCTCTAATCTATTCTTCCAGTTTTAAGGCTTTATCCAGATTAAGGCAGCACAATGATTTTTTTCCTTTCTAAATATTGAATGCACACTGGTGTGCATAAACAACAAATGTTTTCTATGAATGACCTGGTAACATCAGAAGCACCTTTTATTAAGAGTGCATAAGGTTACCAGTATAATCCTATGCACTGGGTGCTACACTCAAATATTCACATTATGATCTCAGAGTCAGATCATATGCTCATGCAAGTATATAACATAAAACATAAAAAAGAACCATACCTACAGCAGGAATATTCTTGTATTAAAGAACAAGAAAGAAGTTTGACAACACTACAAGTGCTTAAGACATTATTTTAATACAGTGAAAGCATTTTTTTTAATTATTTTTTATTAAAATAAGCTAAAGCAACGTAAATGCTGAACTTAATTTCACTGTGTTTAGTCCATTTAAACAGTAATATTTGCTTAATCTGTGTGCTGGGACTACATGAATCGTTTTTGTTGCATTAACTGAAACTGGTTTTCCAGCATGCTTTAACAAATTTTCTTTTATGTTGAGTTTTTTTTTTTTCACTCAATTAGAAAAAGTTGTGCTAATGTCAGTGCAGTGACAAGTAGTCTAATGTCCTACTTATTTGTTGCAAACAAGTATGATTTAATATGATTTAATGGTTTAACACAATTTAATAGTTTATCACTATCAATAGGTGGTGCTGTTACCAAATTGATGTGGTATGGTCAGGGTCAGGTAACAATGACACCCATAAAGTTTGATGTCAATGTCAAAGATTTGTAGAGATACAGCCTCAAATGCAGTTTCACATCATGCCATCGACAAAAAAAACATAACTTCACACCGCCTTGGTCTGAAGATGATTTGAGTTGAATTTGGTGAAAATCAGATTATTGGTCTAGGAGGAATTGAAAAAAGTACGTTTTTCGTAAAATTCAAAATGGTGGGAAATTTTCATGATGAAAAAACAAAACAAAAAAAACACCTCATCGATTGTCCTTGGTTCAGGACAATCGAATTGTCCTGAACCAAGGAATCACAGGTTTCTAGCCCTTACAGTTCAAAAGTTATTACCATACACATGAGTGCAAACTTGGACAGTTGGTGGAACTACAGCGATTGAGTTAGAGACTCCAAAATTGATGTGGTTAATGTTCAGACTGTCCTCTAGCTGTGTGCCGATTTTAACAACTTTTTTACCATTCGGTTCTATGGGCTGCCATAGACTCAAGTGCCAAGGAAGTAGAAGAGGAGGAGGAAGAAGAAGAAGAAGAGAAGAACAAGAGCAAGAAGACACATTATCACAACAGATGTCTATGCACCTTTGCTGCTTGGCCCCTAAAAAACAAAACAAATGAAACTAAAATGCATGTCTAAAATTAAAAAAAATAATAATAAAAATAGTAACCAACCACTTGCCATTAATATAACCCTTTTTAAAAGGAACCACAGTATTAACATTAGTTACTTATGCATTTCTATACAGAAAAGTCTTTTTTGTTGTTGTTGTTTTGAGTTGGACTGTATAAGGTATCCATCATGCATGTAAACTCCTTCAGTACAATTTAAAACAACCTCATGAGTCTAATGTTTAATGTTGTGTTATGTTATGTTATGTTACATGTTATTATGTTATATGTTATGTTTGTTATGTTATGTTATAAATATTCCGGAATTCTTCTGCTTGAAGATTATTAGGAAAACACTGAGAGGGGGTCTATGTAACCTGCAAGAGGAGGTTAATCTTTATTTTCTCGAACTCTCTTCTCCTCCTTTCTCTCTCTCCTCTTACAGTCTCTTCCTCTGACGCACACACAAACACACACCCATGGCCGTCCTCTTGCCCCAGCTGCAATTATCAACAGAGCGTTTTACTTCTCTAGGTTGAAGGCAGCTCTTTCCAGGACAGAGTGCAACTCAGACGCTACAGAGGTAAGACACACCGCTGCATTCGCATGTCGCATTCACATCAAAGCTGTGGTTAACTCAAAGTCAAGGGTTTTGATCGCTTTGTGTCACAGCAACACAGGGGACAGGCATGAAAGTAACTTTAGAGAATCATAATTGAAAGTAAACACTGGATTAAGAATACGGCAAACAAATTCACAACATATTTCAACATGTGCTGAATTATGGTAATTGACATTTATTATGCTTTTAAAATCAGTATTTAGATTTCTTTAGTTGGATTTGTGTAAAAGTGTGATACATTTCTTTTGCAGTTAGTTTCCTTCACTGTCGTCTATTTAGTCAAGGCAAAGTCCTGCTTACTGAGCTTCAAAATGAATTTATGACAGGGAAGGTAAAGTTCAAAATAAACAGTGACAGACAAATTCAAGTTTCAGGAACACATTTTAAATATGACTATGAAAAATGTGTTTGTAATGAAAGCTCTTGTTTCTGTATGCTAGTGAGAAAGCAGAACGGAATGAGGGTTTACCTGTGCAGTGTTCAACTGACAGGATAAAAGGGTGTAACATACCCTAAGCTCCATAATAGACAGAAGTAATACAACACAACAATACAAATGCTATCATGGATTCAAGAGTAAGAAAAATAAATCACCTTTTTATATTAAGCCTAAAGCCTAAGACATGATTCCCATGTTAACGGTTAAACTGCAACTTTTGAAACAAACTGTATACAAACGTTTTATGTTTAAAAAACAAACAAACAAACAAAAAACATTTTACTTTAAAAAAAAATTTAACAAAGTACATAATATAATATAATATAATATAATATAACAAACATAATATAATATAATAGAATAGAATAGAACAGAATAGAATAGAATAGAATAGAATAGAATAGAATAGAACACTTTGACATTGTCAAATGTTAACAGAACATGTTGTTAATGTGAATAACTACACTTGTGGATACTTGTGGTTCAGTCAAAAATGTAAATTCTGTCATGATTTACTCACCCTCACATTCTTCCACACCTGTATGAATTTCTTTCTTCTACTGAATACAAAAGACAATATTTTGAAAAATATGGGTAACCAAACAGCTGCTGGCAGGGGCGCCGCTAGCAATTTTGGGCCCTATGAAAGAATATGAGGTTGGGCCCCCTACCACACCAAACATACACTATATTGCCCAAAGTATTGGGAAAACTCAATAAAACTAAAAAAAACTCATCGCCAAACACCAATGATCAAGTTCTTCCACACTGACTGAATCAATCTTTTTTTTAACCTTGACTTATACACAGAGGCATTGTCGTGTTAGAATACAAAAGGGTCCTGTTCAAACTATTGGTATAAAATTAGAAGCACACAATTCCCTAGAGTAGCATTATATGCTTAAACATTACGATTTGTACTCATGGAAATGACTAAAGTAGTCAAACCTGTTCATTAGAAGGGGGTGTCCCAATTCTTTTGGCAATATAGTGTACAAGCCAGCTTAGTGACATTGTTTGCACAGCTAATTGGTAATTTTTTTGTCATGTGGTGTGTTTATAAGGCACCAGCTGGAGTTGTTCGTGTGTAGGGAGTGTGAAGATCTGAAGCAGTGAAGGTCAGCTGTTATTAACCACCTCTACTGGACTACAGCTTCCGCTCCTAATGGAGATGCAGATGTGATGGAGGCCAAGTGGAAAAGCATGAATGTGATCTAAACTTTTGCTTGCTTCTTCCAGCATATGCATCAGGCCTAATGGAGTCTCTGAGAGAGGAATACTGCACGTCACCACAGGCTCTACGAGAACGCAGCACTGTCTTAGCGTCGATGCCATTCTTCTAACGATGTAGCAAGTACATCGGGTGTTATGGGAAGTGTTCCTGGTTCCGGTTGACCTAATTAATGCAGCCTAAAAATCCTTTAACGGATTTGAATATTAGAAGCGTATTAGTGTGTTATGAGTAAGCCAGGTTAAAGAGGTGGGTCTTTAATCTAGATTTAAACTGCAAGAGTGTGTCTGCCTCCCGGACAATGTTAGGTAGGTTATTCCAGAGTTTGGGCGCTAAATAGGAAAAGGATCTGCCGCCTGCAGTTGATTTTGATATTCTAGGTATTATCAAATGGCCAGGGTTTTGAGAATGCAGCGGACGTGGAGGACTATAATGTAACAAGAGCTCATTCAGATACTGAGGTGCTAAACCATTCAGGGCTTTATAAGTAATAAGCAAGATTTTAAAATCTATACAATGTTTAATAGGGAGCCAGTGCAGTGTTGACAGAACCGGGCTAATATGGTCATACTTCCTGGTTCTAGTAAGAACTCTAGCTGCTGCATTTTGGACCAGCTGGAGTTGTTCGTGTGTAGGGAGTGTGAAGATCTGAAGCAGTGAAGGTCAGCTGTTATTAACCACCTCTACTGGACTACAGCTTCCGCTCCTAATGGAGATGCAGATGTGATGGAGGCCAAGTGGAAAAGCATGAATGTGATCTAAACTTTTGCTTGCTTCTTCCAGCATATGCATCAGGCCTAATGGAGTCTCTGAGAGAGGAATACTCGATCAATGCTTATTAGTTTCTGTTACTGGTAAGTATCAATACTCATAGACGACCAATACTAGCTTTGCTATTGCCTAATTACATATCATTAGCTAACGTGTGTATATCTGTAAGCTAACACTGGTCTCTCACCAAGACACCTGCCTTGTTCTCCTCCCACAACTCAATTTGTCTCCTCTGACCTTTGTTCTGTCTAATCCTGGCCTGTCCCTGCTCTCTTGGCCACATAGCAGTCTCATAATTGTGGTCCGTCATAAGTGTAAATAAACATTTAAAAACAAGATGAGGCTGTTGTTGTGTATCTAGCACAGCATTCATGATTTAACACACGTTAACAACACATTAGTGTGATACCCAGACTGAAAGATTGTTAAATGTTTTTAAATGGGTCAGATGGTATATTTGTCTTTCAGTAGTATATGTTTGGTACATCTACACCAGTATGCATCTAACTCCCTGCAGCACTGACTTTCCTCAGCTGTGACCATGGCCTTACATTTCCCACACATAATGAAAAAAAAACCTGTTTATCTCTCTCTCTCCTGCGGTGATGAGAAACCGCTATATCACGTAACATTAGTGTCAGGATATTAACGAGTGTGACACGCCCGATCAATGCTTATTAGTTTCTGTTACTGGTAAGTATCAATACTCATAGACGACCAATACTAGCTTTGCTATTGCCTAATTACATATCATTAGCTAACGTGTGTATATCTGTAAGCTAACACTGGTCTCTCACCAAGACACCTGCCTTGTTCTCCTCCCACAACTCAATTTGTCTCCTCTGACCTTTGTTCTGTCTAATCCTGGCCTGTCCCTGCTCTCTTGGCCACATAGCAGTCTCATAATTGTGGTCCGTCATAAGTGTAAATAAACATTTAAAATTTCCTCAGCGTCCGAACTCTCATTGCAATCCATTGTTTTCCTATGGACCGCTCTCCCTCTCGTTGCGTCACTTCCGTTTTTGGCGATTTTCAGATGCGTAAAATTCTCTCACAAAAACGACTCCAGAAGCGTTAATAGTGTATTTTAAAGTATAGTTTAAAGAAAATCTAGTTCCTACATTATTTTTCTATACATCGACTCACTGGCGTCTCTAACCTGGAATATGCACTTTAAGATATACAAAATCCCATAATTCAGAATATTTGCTAAATAAATGCACATTCCCATGAAAACCAGTTTGTAATGCAGAAAAAACACGTGTGACATTTTTTTCTATAATAAAAATAACCTGAACTGAATGCAGATAAAATATATTGTATTAGATATAAAATATAAATTTTATATAAATTACAAATTGCTCCAATATATTTACATATTTTCTACAATTAGCAGTAAAAAAATGTGTTTTGACAAATTGCTTTTGTTCCTCTTTTTTTTAAGTTGCTTTGGATAATATCTGCTAAATGCACAAATATAAAATGTAAAAACCATTTTGCCCTCTCAGAGTCTAAAACATCCAAATAAGGAAGTAGGAAAGCTCCTACTTCTAGTTCAGAGTTTCCGTAACTATGATGTAAACGATGTTTAAAGCAATTATTGTTGGAAACAAATGGATGTGAACAGTTTTTTTTTTTTACTTACACAGAAGAAAGACGATTTGTAGCTCTAACACAACAAAAATGTAAAGCACATTAGGTGTGTAACTGATTCTTTAGGAGACGTTTTATTACTCTTGTGTCACAATTTTGTCACACAAGTCAGCAGACCAGCTAAATAAGCAGCATTTTCTGGCAAGCTCTATAGCTAGTCATCAGCTGTACACAAAATGCATACAAACTAAACTGAACCATCAAAATTCACAATTAAAACTTTCTTATACCAATACCAAGTTGCTTCTATCATGATTCACACTGAAATGCTACTATCTCAGAAAGTAGGGGGCTAGGAGAAAATTGCCCAACATTGTAGTGCTGTTCATGCACACTAATCTCATAAAATAAGATTATTCTGACATGGCTTGAAGACAGCACACGTCCAATTGCAAAGCAATAACATTTAGAAGTCAGTTAATGATCAGAAAAACATGTGAAATAAATCTGCAAAAATTGTACCTTTAGGGGGGAAATTCAAAATGTCATGTTTAATTCAATGTTACTAGATTTTTTTGTAATTTTTGTAATTATTTGTAAAATAATACTAGCAATATCTAAGTAAAAAAAGTAAATCCTACATAAATTTTTTCAGTGTACAATTTTTTTCTAAGCATTTAAAAAAATCTAGCATCATCAATGTTACGTTTCTTTCTCTGTTTCTCTTTAGATCAATATGAATGTCCTTTTGGATTACGACCGTGACTATCATTATCATGACCATGACAATAGTTCCAACCACAGTGACTACGACGACAAGGATTTTGCAGACTTCCACACAGTCTGCGACAAACAAGAGGTCCGGTCCTTCGCTGGGGTCTTTTTGCCAGTCGTCTACACCCTAGCATTGATCCTGGGCCTGGCCGGAAACTCACTGGTCGTCTTAGTTTACCTTTCCCACAAAAGCTTACGAACGCTGACGGACGTCTTCATCCTCAACCTGGCCTTCGCAGACCTCCTCCTGCTCCTCACGCTGCCCTTCTGGGCTGCGGATGCAGTGAATGGCTGGGAGATCGGCACAGCTGCCTGCAAGATCACTTCAGCTCTCTACACCACCAACTTCAGCTGTAGCATGCTGCTGCTGGCCTGCATTAGCATAGACCGCTATCGTGCGCTAGCCAGAGGCTCCACCACCGCCAATGCCCCAGCCAGGACCAACGCCCGCAGGCAGAGGATAATCATGTGCCTCCTGGTTTGGGGACTTGCCATTGTCCTCGGGTTGCCAGATATGGTGTTCTACACGGTTAAGATGCAGCACTCAAGTGGGCGTAACTCCTGCCGGGCAGTTTACCCGCACAGCATGGCGCGGGCAGCTAAGGCGTCTCTGGAAATTCTGGACGTGTCTCTGAGCTTTCTTCTGCCTTTCCTGGTGATGATGATCTGCTATTGCAGGGTTGGAATTGTGTTAAGTCAAGCCGCAACAGCGGGCGTACGTGGTGGAAGAAGCTGGCGGGCATTTCGGGTGTTGATAGCGGTAGTAGGTGTGTTTCTGTTGACCCAGCTCCCCTATAATGTGGTAAAATTAGTCAGAGCCCTGGATGTGATTTACATTTTAGTGACGGAATGTGAGGTGAGCAAAAACCTGGACCGGGCCAATCAAATCACTGAAGGTCTGGCCCTCACACACTGCTGCCTGAATCCTGTGCTCTATGTCTTTATTGGCTCGTCTTTCAAAATGCACGTTCTGAAGCTCGCCAAGCGTTGCGGGCAGACAGGAAGAGGGTACCGCCATGGCAACGAACAGCCCACCGTCGAGATCTCCCTTAAGTCGGGCAAACAAACTCAAACTCACTCTTCGTCAGACAATGAAGACACGAGTACGTTCACCATATGACACGGCAATATCTTCAGCAATGAGGACTGCCAACTATATTCCAGGACATTGTTTTAAAAACTAGACTAAGGATTTTTCTGGTCGACTAGTAGTCGTTCATCTTAAGCATTAGTCGACTAATCTCACGTTTATTAATAAACCATTTAAATCATTATAATAATCCTTTAATTGCCTACAAAGCCTAATAAGTAGGATAAACAAGTGCTTTCTCGTCATTTCCTCAGTAGTGGATGCGCCTATATGCATGTTTCACACGGATTATTACATAATCTGAGAATATTTGTTTTATATTTGAATTGGTTCATTTTAAAGTAGACATTTCACTATCTATAGATGTATTTTTAATGTCTGTAAGGCAAAGATATACTCGGAATTCTGCGCTCAAGTTTACAGACCGAGACGGCAGAAAGCGCATCCTGGGGAAGTTGTGGCCTAATGGTTAGAGAGTCGGACTCGTAACCCAAAGGTTGCGAGTTCGAGTCTCCGGTCCGGCAGGAATTGTAGGTGGGGGGAGTGAATGTACAGCGCTCTCTTCCACCTTCAATACCACGATACCACAGCATAAAGGGCTGCCCACTGCTCCGGGCGTGTGTTCACGGTGTGTGTGTGTTCATTGCTGTGTGTGTGCACTTAGGCTGGGTTAAATGCAGAGCACTAATTCCTAGTATGGGTAACCATACTTGGCCACATGTCACGTCACTTTCACTTTCACATCACTGTTTGCTTTCATTATTTTACAAAAGCGCATTTCATTGTTATTCTGAGTGCACACAAATAAACGTAGAGTCTTTACAGATTTGAAAGATGTATTACTTTTATCTGTATGACCAAAAATTACGGAGTATTTTAAGAGCAAGTGAGTGCACCGGCGCCTCCATCTGTCATGCAGCGAGCGCTACTGTTCAGCTTCCATACTCCACGCACACACTTAAACAGCGCACATTTCTCTAGGTTAAAGTGCCCCTATTATGCCATTTCCAATATTGCCTTTCATGCAGTGTGTAATGTAGCTGTATGTGAATGTAAACGATCTGCAAAGTTGTAAAGCTGAAAGTGCACGATAAATAAAGTTATTGTCTCCCAAAATAAAGAACTGCTCTAACAACTCTGAACAGCTGAAACGAGTCGTTAGTAAATCGAATCCCACTTCCGTGACGGCTACACGTCACGGGCTAACACATTTGCATAATGCGTGCCTATGTTCTACGTTGGCCGTTCTACGTATCATTTCCGACACGCGCTGTACGCCATAGACCAATCACAACAGACCGGGCCATCTGACCAATCAGAGCAAAGCAGGCTCACGGAAAGGAGGGGTTTAGAGAGACTGAATATTTGAACTGCTTCGAACGAATCGTTTGAGAATTGCTGGAAAATGAGGTGATATTAAATGCATATTTTGAGAAAACGAAAGCGTTTTTTGACCTTGCATGCATGTAATCCTATTGTAGGAGATTCCCAAAACAATATTAGGAACCGTATAAATGGCATAATAGGGGCACTTTAACATTAGATTGAGCAGCCATGTAACGTTGCTGCTACTTATATACATATTTTAGATGATAAGCCATATTTGTGGTGTATGAATGATAGGTGAGCGTTTGGATGTCCTGCCGCATGTACTGTATTACCATAGACCAGCCGTTATCGATCTGCGTGACTTCGCCAATGTGGATTTTTTTTTTTTCTGCGACTAAGCGACTAATAAAATTTTGGTCGACCAAGCTTCTTCTGGTCGACTAACGATTAGTCGACTATTAGGTGGCAGCCCTACTAGAAAGTTTAATTTGTTGTTCAGTGTCTGCACTATTTCCACTCATTTAAACTAGAGTTGCAAATATCTTTTAACCCATCTCAACAATGCTCATCAATATGGGCATCTATTATGATTGTTGCTGCCGTATCCACTATTTTTCAACTGTAGAACAAAAGGCTGGGTCTGTGTTGCCAACTGTGGAAAAAAATTAAGGTGCATGTGTGAGCTGAGCATCCAGAGTATATGTGGTTAGAAAAATCTGGCTGCTCGCATACAGTATGCATGTACTATGGTGCAGAGGCAATTTACGCCACACGCACTGTGTACTCTAGCGCACACATAAAAATCAAAGTATACTTTGGCCGTAAGATTAATGCATTAACCAGAAACATTCCACTACGACATCTTTGATTAGATCTTTTGTTAAATGTTTAAAGAACAAAGTATGCTGTTTATCAGAAGACTTGTATGGAATCTGAGCCCGCAGAATTCCATGGAAAACTTCACAGAATCTGTCGTTAACAACACGTGTGTGTTTGTTTATTAAGTGTTTACAAAATAATAGTGTCATTACTCAGTTTTGGCTAATAATATTCCACAGAATCTCCCAAAACTGTGCATAAAACAGGAAAAACAGTACATGGGCATATGTGGGCATATTTATCATTTATTATACTGACCATATACTGAAAGTGTATAGTGAACTCAGGGATCTTGTGTAGAAAAGATACCCTGCATACCAGATGGTACGCATTTGTATATTATATATCGCCAATGTAAATATATTTTTAGATTAAAGTATACTTTATACACTTTGACTTGTATTGGAGTTTTGCTGTTATTTGCTGGTTTGAAATCACATACAGTATGTGCTTGCACACAAAAGTCTGCACGAAAAGTAAGTATACAAATACAAGTAAGTATACAAGTCACATGTACAGGAGATTATGCTTTACACAGAGGATAGAAAATTGTAAGCGTGTGGCTTTGAAGGAGAGTTTGTGAGTTAATGGGAAGGTTATTATGACAGCACAGATGATATGTGGAAAGCAGATTGGAAAAAGAGGTTCATGAACAACACAAGGTCAACCATATTTTTAATTAAATGAGGGGGAAAGTAAAAAATTAAATTAAAATTAAAATAAATAAAAGCAGAGAGAGAGAAAAAAAACAGACAGAAAAAAAACAAGTTTCTTGGCTTAGCAGGATTTTACACATTAACAACCATATGTTGTTACATTTATTTATGAATTATTACCAACATTTTTGGTATACAATATTATGTCTGGTGCTCTGAAATTACAGTTTAGCATTTAAGTTCCACCTTTTAAAAAGAGACTTGAAAGCTGATGTTATTTTGCAAAACTGCTGATTTGCATTACGGCACTACAGTTTAAGCTATGTCAAAGAAGTGTTTGTGAAAGTGATGCTGAAAAAAGGTGTACTATTACGGGACTAGTCATGCTTTCATAAATCCAGTACTCTGTATTCCCACTTGACTCACCAAAAGTTACATGCCAAAATGAAGGCAGGTGGTTAGCCAAAAAAAGGTTAGCCAAAAAGGTTGAAAAATGTTAGCCAAAAGGTAACAATTTTAGAGACAGAGAAGAGCAAGTTCAAATGAAAATATACTCATACTATGCTTTCAAATGGAAATATACTCAGACTACACTGCCAGAGGTCACTCTAAGCAGCTGAATTAGAAAACAGTTTAACAGCATATCTAAATAACAGATGATGAAAAGCTCACTGGGAAAAGACAAGAGATAAAAAAAAAGAATGAATTTCATGAAGGCAGGATTGATGACAATTTCTGTCAAAGACCTAAAGCCAACTCAAGTGAGTCAGACCCAAATCATACCACAGACCACATAAATGTATTCAGCCTCATAACTCTTGATATTGTAGTATCCTTTATAAACATTAACCTGTGTGAGTGTCTATGCTTGCAGAGGAGTGTGTCTCATTCCACCAAAAAAAATTGATAAATAATTGTGTTTGTGTTTGTAGAACGTAGAGGACTGCTTAACAGTGAACCTTCACTGTGTGCTCAGAAGCTGTTACTCACTATAATGACAGAATGTTTACTACAAATTACCAGATTTCCCCATGGGTGTTCAGACACAAGCATGACCTGAATGTGACATTCTGTATGGGATGTAATGACACATATAGTCTTTGCACAAAGTGCCATTGTTTTGTTCCAAAAATCTTTCCAACTTTGAATGAAAAATGTTATGAAAACTGTCATACAAAGTTTTTTACGAAACAGTTACAGGCTATAGGGATGCACCTTTTCTGTATGAAATAACCATTCCAACAGCAAACATTAAGTTGGAACACTTCATTATTATGGAAAATATAATAATAATAATAATAATAATAATAATAATAATGGATATATTATAATTATAATGTAAAAGTATATCAAATAGAATATATTTGAGAATTATTATTTTACAATAATGACAATAATAATAATAGTTTTTATCAAATAAAACTGATCAGAACTGTATACTTTATATACTTTAAAAGAATATAAAATATAAAACATTTTAGGCATATAATTTTTTATAATAAATTTTACAATAATAACAATTATAAAACAATTCTCAGAAATGTATTATATTTTTTATAAAAAGAACAAGAATAATTAAAATAATAGAGAAGAGGGACTGATGGAGGACATAATAGAGCGGAACACAATAAGAAACTGTGTATTTATATTATAAAATATCAGTTTGCATTTAAATTATGAATGTTAAAAAGTAATCCAGTTTATTACTGATAAAATTAAATGATGATTAATAAAACTGTGTGTTATGTAACTGCATGTGTGTGCGTGTGTGTGTGCGTGTGTGTGTGTGTGTTTAACTACCACTCTCAAAAGAACCAAACTGTCTTCATTCATTAAGCCATGCCAGAGGCTTCAGCATGCACATGAAAACACATTATGCCACATATTCCTTGGCCCTGTTCTTTCCAGTGATGGTAACGGTGGTCTGGAAGTCATTGCGCAAAAAGAACAAAGGCGTAAAGAAGCTGTGAAAAGTTAAAGTTCAAGACCACCAGATATGAACAAACCTCACCATAGGCCTGGGAGCCACCAAAGGAAATTGGCTATCCCGAGAGAATGAAAAGAAGGAAAAGAGGAAAAAATGTGCGGGGGAAAAAACACTGAAAGATATGAGAATGGTTAAAAGAGAAAAGAGAAAAGAGAAGAAGGCCAGGGGTAACCAACACAGCTGTCTGTTTCTGTTTTTGCTCATAAGGATAAGTTGATGTCTAAAATCTACAGAAGTTCCTTTCAGCAAACAATGACAGGAAAAGTGAAAAGTACTATGAGGAATTATGAGGAAGACACAAAAAAATATTTGCACAATCAGTGATGACAAAAGACTTTACTGACCAGGTACATCTGAATAAATGGAATTTGGCTTGGAAACAACTTATTATAGTTCCCACATGCCACAAAGATCTGGAAGAAAATAAGGCTAACACCTGCAAAGCTTGGTGATACTACAACAGCCCCAAAAATGTATCCAGAAGGATTTAAATGGTTAATACCTCTCACCGCTATAAGCAAGTGAATTAAAGGGGTCATGAATTTAGAAATCAGATTTTCCTTGATCTTTTGACATGTAAGAGGTCACTGTACAATAAAAATGGCCTAACTGTTACAATAGTACAACAAAAGACAAAAGGCCTCTAGACTGCCTCATGTTAATGAGATGAGAAGAAGAAAAGACTGAAAATAACATTACCTTCCATTGGATTGTAATGCTAGGAAAGTGACCAGTGCTCAAATTGAGGCGAGGCTGGGGGGATAAGGCATTAGGGACCACTCATAAGAAGTAAAAAATAGACTTAGGGGGTTCCCCAGATATTTTTATTTTACTAAAGGTAACAATTTTGATAACTTTTAACAATTAAGATAACCTTTTGTAAGTATGTGTGTGTCCCTGACGAAGGTCTTTGACCAAAACGTTGCAACTTTTAACTTTTTCTAAATAAAGGGAGAATAACAGTGTGCAGATCTTTTTTGTATGATTTGATGTATTTTTTTAATCTTGCACCTGGCCAAGACGCTTTGTATGTGCCTACCTTGACATTTTTTTATACTAAAGATAATGACAAATCTGATTAAATTCACACAGTTAGAATACAGTACATTTCGTGAATTAAATATTTACAATCACTCATGTGACTGAAGTATGTTTTTAAGCTAGTTGTCATATCTCTTTAAATTGTAAACAACCCTATCTAAGGACTGCTAAGCACACGACATTACTGCTTGCATGGCGCCACTCTGGCAAAGCTCACTTTAACGAAAAATGGAGACTAATAAACTTCTACTGGAGTTGGCTACTTGGAGCAAACGGTAAGGCTGGAATTGTGACATTTCCACTTGAAATGAGGAAAAAAATAATGAAATAAATTAAACAGGTTCTTTAAGATTCTTTTGAAGTAACTGACTGCTCCTTTGTCACTGCTTTCAAATAAATTTTGAAATAATTATTCCTGTGCCACACAGTTTTAAAAAATGGTGTATATAAAATATACAGTATGTATATTACTCGATAATCTTGTGGTCTTGAAAAATACTCGATAATCCTCCAACAATATCCTGTCTTATTGTATGTGAATACAAACAAACTGCATAAACCAAACTACATACACATTCCTATGACAATACGTTCTGTTTGGGCATCTCATTGCAAAGTTTGCCCAGGAAAACCGAAGGAACTAAAAGCATTCTTTCATTTAAACAACAACTACCCTTCTAGCAAGAAGATGGCAGGAAAGCCAAAAGGTCTTAAAAATACTTGATTTTAGTGGAAAAACAAACCTGAAGTATGCAACAAGGTTGGACTGCAGTTAAATGTATTTTCTGGAGGCTCTTAGGTGAAACGTGAATTGTTTAGCCATTGACTGTCACTACCCCAAACTTTCTATCATTAACTGTTTGAAATTCATTCCACATGTCTCAACAATAAAGATATGTTTAGCAATCCCCAGAACTGATGGTGGTTTATGATAGTAGTGAAAAACACCATCTGTGCCTCTCAGAAAAAGCAGGAGATATGGAGTTCTTACACACGACAGGCTCATCTTGTAACCAAATGATTTGAATTTGTCACACTTATAATTTACCCTTTGTACTGATGATTAATATGTACATCTGTGCGGGTTAAAATAGGACAGAGATAGCAGTGGAAAGTTTGAATTTCCGCTGCTCAAGGACACAAAGATCACATACTGTACGCTGATGAGTTTTTTAAAACTCCTCAGAGACACACAAAACAACTCTGGTGACAAGTCAGATTAGACAAAAAGATCTCAACTTGTCACTTTCCATATCTGAAGATATTTTTCTCTTACAACTTTGAATCGACCACCCGTAAACTTCACCATCCAAAACGTCTGGTATGTGATGTGTGTTCTCAAATCATATTTCTGAGATACCGGGGGCTTCAAGTGGGCAAACTGCTACATGCAATAGTAGTGTTGATGCAAACACTTCCGAAATGTGATGCATTTGAGTGTCATTCTAGACATCAACAAAATGCAATTATGCATGCCTGCGTTCAGTATTCATAGAAATACAAATGAAAAAAAAGAAAAGTGAATGAGTTTACAGCTCTGAGAAAGATTATGTATATGAACAAATGATTTTTACCATCAAGATTTGATTGCATTGTAAAATGTTATACATTTCCATTTCTAGAAATAAATAAAATAATATATAATAGAAATTATAATTTCATATAGATATGATTTAATATTGGTCATTTATTTGTCCACCCTGTAATAATAATAATAATAAATAATAAAATTAATTTAAAAAGTATAAATTAATACATTAACCTTAGTTTTCAAAAAAAAAAACATTTACAAAAGTAATTTTTAAAATGAAATATTACATAGTGGAATAATGCACACCAATAAATCATTCACAATAAGAACAAAAATGCATATTAAACAGGTTAAGCAGGTCAGTTTTGGTTCATGTCGACTTCAAACACTCATTACCATAATAATAAAGTGTTGTATAGAACTTAGATTTGCTGGAGCAGTTAAAAGTCAGTTCAGACTTTATGGAGTTAATTTGGTATAATGATACAGGGAACAACAGGCCTTTGGTCCTTTGTTGTGCTTTGAGGATGTTTAATTTATAAGGCCCCAAAACCACAAAGACCCACAGCTAGAACCATCTGGAATGTTCTACAGGAGACACTGTCTAAAAGACAAATACCAAAGCAACTCTAAACATCCCATACAGATTGAAAAACAACCTTGGGCATTATAAACAGGATGAACTGCAAGTTTAAACCCTGATCATTGATGTTATCTCACCGCAATAAACCTTAAAACTGCCTTTCATCACATAAAGATCGTTTTCAATCTTTGTGTTGTGCAAGTGCTGTTCCACATGTCAAAATGCAATTACGCATGCCTGCGGTCAGCTTTCCTAAAAATATGAATGAAAATGAAAGCAAGAGAGGGTGAGTTTACAGCTCTGAGTGCAGACTGTTCATTTCAGCTTATTCAGTTTGAAAATGACTCAAAGATGATTCATGATGATTCAGTTTTCAAGTGGAAAATTAGGTTAAAAAAAAAAGCAACTTTTACCAAATTATGTTAGCCTGTCATTTGCAGTTAGAAAATCCTTCGAAATGTGACTTTTTCTGAATTTTGTCAAATGCAGGAGGAGATGATGGCGGACTTATCCTCACAACTCAGTTCTAAGTCTGTGAAGCTGAAGGCGGGAACTTCGACTAATTGGTCTGTTTCTGCTTTGCCACCCGTTGTGATCGCTTTGAGTTCCCCAAGTCTGTTTATCGTTCACAGATTCTGCATAGCTGGTTTGTGTAAACATCTCAAATGGTTTTTAAATGTCATGCCAGTCATCGAGAAGATTTGGATGAATGTGGACGTTTTATGGGATGAATCATTCTGGTGATATATTTCTTTATGTCTTTGTGGTAAGATATTGGTTAAAACACTAAGGCTAAAAAAATCTAAACTCCCGCTGTTCAGTGTTCCTTTTAACGTGTTTAGTCTCCACAGAAGTGAAACCCAAAAAATCACAATTTATTTTCTTGACAACTGACAAACAAAATATTTCCTCTCCACTCGTTCTTTCATTCTCATTCTGTAACATTCACACGCTTACCATTGCTCCATCACTTTTTGCCATTAATGATAAAATGGTCTTTGTCCCAGTGAAGGGTGCACTCCATGTTTGTGGCGTCACTTGAAGCAACATCCGGCTCTAGAATAGAGAAAAACAGAGTGTAAGTGTAACAGAGTACTAGGTTCAGTGATGATAATCATTTTAGGAAAAAAAAAAAAGCAGTCAAGGAATTTTTACAATTCTTAAGTATTAAAAAAAACTGTTTGTCCACCAAATCAAAGTCATGTGGTGCAACAAAACAGGAGAAAACAAACAAAAAAAAAATTATTATATTATAGAAAAGATTCCAGAAAACCAGCCAGTCTAATTTGTCCCACTACAGTTTCATAAGGAATATTTTTATTATAACATAAAATTTCTAACATTGTGTTTTGCATTATTGTTTCGGCAAAGAAACGCACAAGTCTCTTATAATATCGTTTGTTTAATAAAATTCAAAATGTTTTTGAAAACTATCAATACAAAGTGCTCACTCAAATGTATTCAAGGTGTTAGGAAAATATTTGAATACTTTTTACTTCATGTTAAAACCAAAAATCTATATTTTTATTTATTTTAATTCACTTAATTATTTTAATATTAATTATATTTATTTTTAAGTGTTGTGTTGCTGTGGACAATAGGGAACCTTGAAGACAAAAAGATTGAGAACTTCTTCACTGGAGGATAATATCAGGAGGTTAACAACAGAGTGTAAAAACACAAACAGAGAGACTGGCTGTCAAGGTGGAAATGATAACCTAGTGTAGATATTTTGTATGACATCAGATATTTGTTTCACAAACATGAGCAAGCTATTACAGCTATTGTCTGTAGTATGACAGCTAAAACGACACACATGCACACACACTGGGAGAAATAATGGGGAAAATTGTCATACATCAATGCATCTGAAAAATCCAGAGGCATTACAGCACCATCTGTATATGTTGAGAAACTTGATGCCTTTTTAATCACTATTACACATGTGCTCACACAATCTATAGGCCTAGTCATCTTTTAGCTTTTGTTAAATAATTTTTGCAAAATTATTTAACAAAATAATTTTGTTTTTCCTCAATCTCATCGACCAGCTTTTTCTGTCCTTGTTTACTCATTGAACACAGATCTCATTATCAACCTAAATCAAGTGAGTATTAATGAATATGTGTCACATTAGAGAGGCTTGAGTTTGTCCAAGTTTTAAAACTGTGTCTGGAGACTACTATGTTCTGTTCCAATACGTTACGCTCTGTCCAGCTGTTTAATGAATCTCATGTAAACACCCCAAAGACACATGTCCACCAAATAATTGTTTCTACGAACCTGAAACCAGCCTAATTATTAAGGTTTTCTGATGACTGAATAGTCAATTAGTAAATTTTACCCATTACCTGTCATACAGAAGCAGGACCGTATGTCTCATCTTAGTAAGGGCTCCAGCCAGAGTCTCTTCTGTTCCTCAGTGCCAAACAGGTGCAGAACTTCCATATTGCCAGTGTCTGTTAGAGAGTTAAAGTCACCATGAAATCAAAATGAAGAATTCTTATATTTTTTTCTGGAATGTTGCAGTGTTTGTTATAAATGTTTTATCTGTGCACATCATTATTTTATTTTAATTCATGTACCCTCGTAATCATTAACGTCCTATATGCAATGGCGCGTAGGCAGGTCAATAATCTCTTCTCTCCAATGCTGACGTGTAAAACCTGACAAATCCTATTGCATATACGGATGTACAGTCATGGCCAAAAGTTTTGGAAGTGACATAAATTTTGTGTTTTGCAAAGTTTTCTGCTTAAGCTGTTGTGGTGTTCATTCACATTGTTTCTAGATTATTGTGTAGAGTGATCAGATGCATTTTAAATAATTGCTAAAATATTAATATTATATTAAATATGTAAGATTTTTTTGTTGTAAACATTAGAGTATTTATACAAAACACAAACTTCTGACATATAACTTACGAAAAATATACCAGAATTTTGCTAGACTTATAATAGAGCACATTCTCTGAAAAAAATTCATTTTCAGTAATTATAGCTGTAAATCTGCTTACAATTTATGTTATTTTTTATCATTCTGTAGTATAAAAACATAAGTGTACCTTAAGTACCTTAAAGCCATAATCTAAAAGCTCCATAAAAACAGTAACATTTCTGACTTGTGAAGAAACACCCACCCACCTGGGGCCTGGCAGTTAAAGACTTCGGGGGCGTAGAAGCAGCGTCCGGTCTCCTCTGCGATATGAGCATAATCCAGCTGAGAGAGGCCACTCTCAGCCGGAAGAAACAAATTCCACAGGCCTGCAGCTCGAGCCGTTGCCTGCTCACAGGGACTTCATTAATACATACAATGAACATATTCCTAACTCCAGTTCAATCGAATACATTATTGTCTGTTCAAGTTTTGAAATTTTGTTCACCAAGACTGATTTATTGAAAAATACAGTAAAAACTGTAATAATGTGAAATATTATCATTATTTAAAATAACTATTTTTTTTTATATTTAATTTATTTTAAAGGAGACATATTATGCCCCTTTTTACAATATGTAATATAAGTCTCTGGTGTCCCCAGAATGTGTCTGTGAAGTTTCATCTCAAAATACTCCACAGATAATTTATTATAACATTTTGAAAATGCCTATTTTGAGTGGAAGCAGAAACACGCTGTTTTTCGGGCCTGTTTCTTTAAATTCAAATGAGCTGCTGCTCCCCGCCCCCTTTTCCAGAATAGAGCTGCTCACCAAGGGAGCGAAATCAGACACTTGCAGAAAAATGCTTACCAAAACAAAGTTACTGGGTTAATCTTTTTCACGTTTCCTTGGTTGCTAGATGCACCGGGGTCCTGATTTTAGCACTTTAAACCTGGAAAAGTCAGTTCCCTTTCAAGGGAACTTCGAACTGCGTCCTCTAGGGGTCGCTATGGGGAACGC